ACTTAGTTCAGCTCCAATTAAGATCGGCGTCTGAATCAATTCGGCCGGTCTAAAAAATTTGCGTCGGCCTTTATTCGCATAAGGTTTGGCTCATGAAAAGTTTGGCATCTGAACCGGGCTTAACTCTTACCTCTTCTGCCAATTGTAACATACGCCGCGTACTTTCCAGGGACTGTCAAGAGGAGAAAGAAGGAAAGAATGGTTTAATAGGGAAGATACACTGAAAATTCCCTGATAAAATCAGGGGTTTCAATAAAAATTGAATTTTATATAGGCTGAGTAACTGACTCTGTTAACAAGAGGGCTGTTAGTCCCCTCCTTCTAGCAGGTCTGGGGGTATAATCGATCCCCAAGACAATCTGGTAACTTCAAATTCTCTAGATGTGACTTTTAAAACTCTGATAAAGGAATATTTCTCATCAATAGCAGGGAGTATTTTTGTACTTTTTAAATGAAGTTAAATAAAATTTAACAACAAGGAGTAGTGCCTTCTGTTGTTGTCAGTCAGTGGTCATCCTTTCTTTCGTCAGCTATGGCTGTTTGCGTGTTTGCATAGAGCTGAACTAGCATTTGGTATTTTATTGGCAGGTGGTTTTGTTCGTCAAGCCTAGTGATTTAATTCCCTGCTCAGGCTAAAAGTATTGATACATCCTTGCGTTCTGAAACATTGTGTGAAAGTTTAGATTGCAACTGAAGAAAATTAGCAAAGGAGTGTTTTACTAGCCCTATATGGCCAGTTTGGGTCATTTCTCTTCTTATTCTGGGCTATTCAGAGGGCACATGCATTCAATTTTGCAGCTTTGGTGATCCTGAATACCACAATAAATTGATGATGTCCTATCTGATGGTGACCATACAATTACATGCAAGTGTAGAGTCATGGAAATGTCCAGCTATCACAGTTATCTACAAAGATGTGTGGCCAATTTTCTTTTTAACTTGTGAAACTATTCACAAATTTTATAGTGAGCACTCAATGTTTTTATGCAATCTTTACTAAAACAGGTGCTTACAGTGCTCATAGTACAGTAGACAATATCATGAAAAGTGCTTACAAGTTAAACTACATATAAAAACATTGAAACGCTAACTGTTATGAAATGTGCATTGCTGTTGAAGAAATTCACCAGGCTAGTGAAGTTAATATCGATTTAAATGTTCTCAAAACATAGCCAGTCTTAAAGTCTTAATGATGCTGACAGTTTCGATGACTGTCAGCCATCTTTATCAAAACTTGGAAAACAGTGTCAGAAGCCTTAAATAGCCATAACTGACCACGTCTGTCAGAACAATCACATTATGAATTGGGAAGCAAGTGAAATAGTTGAGCAGGAAAGCGACAAGTTTAAGCGATGGATCAAGGAAAGCATACGTATTAGATCGAACACTCCTACTACGAACAGGGACGAGGAGCCTATCAGCTTTCTCCCATGCATATGGACACAAATGATCTCCACCCCCAAACCAGGGGGGGAGGGGTGTCTACAGAGTGACTTTGCGCGTTTATCGCAATAATTAACACCCTCAGAAGCCTATTTAAGGTTTCTGACACTTTTAATGTTTTCCAAGTTTTGATAAAGATGGCTGACAGTTATCGAAACTGTCAGCATCATTAAGACGTTAAGACTGGCTATGTTTTGAGAACATTTAAATCAATGTGCATTGCTTCATACATTAACATGAAAAAAAGACGAAACTTTGGAAAAATGAAGGAAAATTTCTCATGGCAATTAACCTTTATTTGAGTAGGCAGTGACCGGAAGGTTTGTACGGTCTGTGCGGAGGACTTAAAAGCGAAGAGAAAAAAACTCCCTTTGTTTAAAGTTATCTCTTAAATTAGTTATAGTCCCCCAACATTAGTTTTAAAGATGCTATTGTCAAGGCTATGTCGATGTGCTGTTTTGTATAGCCCTTTCTTCGTGCCTTGAAGATACAGCCAAAGGTTTAAAACAAGAAAAAAGTTATTTTTCTGGCAGCCTACTTGTACTTGTAGTTTTACAGCAAGAAGCCCATAAGTGTGACCTCCAATAATTAACTCACATTCTTTCATGCAGACATTAACCAATCAGAAGTTGAGGACAGTTTCCAGCTGGCTTCTGATTGGATTAAATCTGTACAAAAGAATGTGCATCAATCAAAAGCGGCCACACTTTTGGGTTCCTTACTTTAAAAGATTAAGAAAAAAAGATAACAATTTAATGGCAGTCAGATGGTGGGGGTGATAATCAGAGCGAATTGGGCTTTCTGAGCAAAAACTATCGACAGAAAGCATAAACAAACATTACAGTCGCATGATCATTCTATAGCTCAAGAACTTTACTAGGTGTTGCTCTTTGGCCCAGATTAGGACCGAAAAAGGTGGGTGATCTGATCAAGCAGGACAGAACCACCAGCCTTGTACAACTCAGCAGAGATTGTGTCCGATCCTGGGGCTTTCCTGGTGGACGTTTGCTTGAGGGCTTTCCCTACTTCTTCAGTCGTATTCTAAAGAAAACTACAGGCCCATTACTGTCCTACCATGTGTGGACAAGGTTTCTTAGCAACTAGTAGGCGCGCAAATCACTGCTGGCTTTGACCGTCGCATGTATGAATATTCATCTGCCTATCGAAAAGCTCACAGCTGTGAGACAACGTTGATTAACTTAGTTGAAGAATGGAGACTAGCGAGGGATAATAAACTTGACGGACATGTCATAGGCTTTCGACTCTTTGCATCCGCCACTGCTGCTCAGTAAGCTGAAAGCATATGGTTTTCAGGAAAGCGCAGTACAACTTTTACATAGCTATCTACATGACCAGAAATATCGTGTGAAATTAGGAAGTCATGTAAGCACACGTAGAATGGTCAGCCGTGGTTGTCCCAGGGCTCCTCCCTAGGTAAGTTGCTGTGGAATATCTTTCAGAACGATCTGTCTTACCGCGTAACGACAAACTTATCAATGTATGCAGACGACCACCAAATTTATCATATTGGATCTGATCAATCTAGTGTTTCATCCAAGCTCAAAGATGTTACCAAGTGGTATGACTCCAATCTTCTTGCTGGGAACCTCAAGAAATACCAAACTATGAACATTGGGTACAGCCAGGCAATCAACAGTGCAGCACCTGCACTTCATGTGAACAATGAGGAAATAAAAAATGTAGAGAATCTCAGACTCTTGGATGTTACAATAGATTCCAAATTTACCTTTACTGATCACATTAGCGCTGTTTGTGGGAAAGCTGGTCAAAGAATCGGCGTGCTTATGCGACTTAGGAACTTGATTTCACCTGAGGCCAAGTTAAAGCTATTCAAATCAGCAGTTTTACAGTACCTTACGTATTGCCATTTAGTCTGGCATTTTTGTAGGTGTAGTGATAGGCGAAAACTAGAGAGACTGCAAGAAAGGGGACTGATGGTTGTATATAGAGACAAGCATGCAAGTTATCAACAACTTCTTGAGAGGGCAGAATTACCAACACTATTGAATAGGCACCTACAGGATACTTGCATCCTTATGTACAAAGTGAACTACAATCTAGGTCCAACTTATATCTGTAATCTGTTCAATAATCATAACTCTTCTTATTCTCTATGACATTTGGATTTCTCTATTCCTAGATATAATACTGTAAAACAATGGTAAACATTCTTTAAGGTATCTTGGGCCTAAGTTATGGCGAAAATTGCCTCCTGATTTAACATCAGCGAAAACTCTGAACCTCTTTAAAAATAGAATTCGTAAAAATGATATAAGCTGTTCTCTGTGCACATCATAACCATTTAATTTTACGATTCTCTCTTAGTTATTTTAGATTATCATTAGAGTATAATATAATATGTGTGGTTAAAATATTTTTTTACTTTTATATTTTATAGGTAACTCCAATTATTTGAATATAAATTGTGTCCCCAAATTAGTAAGGGGTTGTTCCCAAGATATAAGGCTCCGACACATTAATAAAGGTTTCTATTCTATTCTATTCTATTCTATTCGTTGGGGGAGAGTCAAGTTCCAGGTTCACCGGAACTTATGAAAGGCGTTCAATGGCTGTGGAATTGATTGTAGAAGGGCGGTTGAGGACAGTGTCAAAATGTTCAGCTTATCACTCCAGGATCTGTTTCTTTTCAGTGAACAGGGTATATGTAGTTCCATCAGGTCCAAGTACGAGGGACGACCCAGAGGATTGAGGTCCGTAGACAGCTTTAAGAGCATCATAAAACCACTTGGTGGCATGCCGGTCTGCATAGCACTGAATCTCATCTACTTTGGCACTGAGCCAGGTGTCCTGCATAGAGAGGAGCTTCGTCTATATCTGGCTGTGCAGCTTGATGAAGCCAGCATTTTTAGCTTGGCTGAAGAGGTCGCTCTTGTGGGCTCAAAGTAGGTGGCACTTTTCCTCCAGTAGTACATTATTTGGATTACATTGTCATTTTCCTCGAACCAGTCGTGGTGCTTCCTGGTGGTCGGCCCGAGGACTTTGAGGGCACCAGAGTGAACTGTGTCCCTAAAGGAGGCCCACGCTTCTTCAATGTCATTAGAGGGGTTGGGCAGGTTGGAGAGTTTTCTGTTTATGGCTGACTCAAGATCATTCACAGTCTCAGTGTTTTTCAGTTTTGTCACATTCAGTTGCTTGGTGACCCTCTGCCCTTGAGGCCTTCTCTTTAGCTTAAAATGGAGACCTTTGAGCTTGGAAATGATGAGGTGGTGATCAGTCCAGCATTCAGCGTCACGTATCACCTTTGTCACCCTCACACTCACCTGTCTCTTGCCCTGACAATGACATAGTCAATAAGATGCCAATGCTTACATCAAGGGTGCATCCAAGATATCTTATTACGGCTCAGTAACCGGAACACGGTGTTGGTGATGGAGAGGTCATGTAAGGCGAAGGTGCGGAGAAAGAGAAGACTGTTACTGTTGCATTTTTCTACTCCATGCCTCCCAATGACTCTATCCCAGGAATGGTGGTCATGGCCGACACAAGCACTGAACTCGCCAAGGACAATGAGCTTTTCAGACTGAACGACAGCTGACAGAAGGGCATCGAGTTCTTTGGTTCTTTGGTTCTTTCGTTTCTTCAGCTTTGGTCATGTTGGGAGCATAGGCGCTGATCAGCGTGATCGTCATGTTCTTCGCCAGTGGGAGCTGCAGTTTCATCAGGCACTTTTTCAGACCCTCAGGGATGCTTGACTGACAGCTTCTTACATGGTGGGTTCCGATGGCAAAGCCAACTCCAGCTTTGCGTCACTCGTCACTTCTGCATCCACTCCAAAAAAGCTTGACCACTGCCAATCTCAGTAAGTTGACCTTTATCAGGAAGAAGTGTTTCACTAAGTGCTGCAATGTCATTGTTATGGTGGGAAAGTTCTCTGGCCACAAGTGCAGTTCTTCTTTCAGGTTGGTCTGCTTTGACATTGTCTAGCAGCATCCTGACGCTCCAAGATGATAGGGTGAGTACATTTGTTCTTGGTTTCTTTGAGTTTCAATCACTGGCCAGGGTGATGTTTAGCAGACTATGTTTAGGGCACCTTTTCTAGCCCCATCTTCATGCTGCGAAGATGAGCAGCATTTCAAATGAACAATTTTTCAGTGTTCCCCATGGACATAAATGTACAGCAGGGCTGTGCTCTAGCAGAGCCCGATGGCTCCTTGCGCCCAACTTTTGCTCCTGGGCGACTAGAAAATCTCAGATTCTTCATTCAAATCATATGCTGAGCACCCTAGATTTTACATGATCAGAGCACTGAGTACCCTTCAATTTTCCTTAGAGCACAGCCTTGTACAGGTACAGCTAAACCCCCTTAATACAGACACTGAAGGGAATATAGAACATGTCCATATTAAGCGGTTTATGTTAACTAATTAAGTTCATATGTGAAAGGTTTGAACCCAGGAGTCATTTCAAAAGTAGGTTGAGTTTGATCGTCAAGGTGAACGCAGTCCTGAATAGGACTGTTGTTGTTGACAGTGACTGACGTTTCGACAACCTGCGCGGTAGTCATCTTCAGAGTCAAAGTGAGTTGTATCACGTCAATTGATGGTATTACACTCTGGTTATTGATCTGATTGGTCAATTACGTCGCGATGTTATTAGTCGTCTGTCAGTTAAGCGGTGATGTTATTAGCTATGAAGACTCGTAATCAGTAATTGGTGCGTTTCGATCCGTCTATTGTCAGAGTTAAACAGTCGTCTATTGTTAGTCAAATTGTCAGTTCTTCAGTCGTTTTCTTGTAGTTAGTTTTGCTTGATCTCGTCAATAAGTCGTTTGTACGGCGCTGGTAACTGTTGGCTACAATTCAGTGGCGTTTGTTCTAAGTTAGTAAACCAGCTTTCTAAAGTAAGACGTTGATGGTAGTCTGTAGAATACGTTATACATGTCGCAGAGTCCCAGTCAATTTGATGTTTCGTCTGTTAATGGTGCTCAGCAATGTGATCGTTGACGTCACCATTCCTCATTGCTCGTTTGTGTTCGGTCAGTAGCGTGCTTAGGATTCTAGTGCTGGTTTCACCAATGTAAGAAGCCTGGCAGTCACAGCATTTGATCTTGTATACTGCTCCCCGTCTGTCCTCCGGTTTGTCTTTGTCTTTGACATAAGTAAGCAATCGCCGTAAAGTGGTTATCGGTTTGTGTGCAACACGTATATTGTAAGGTTGTAATATACGTGCAATAGTTTCAGGGGGGCCTGTGATGTACGGTATAGTCGCTGTCATAACAGAACCAGAGTAGGTCTGAGTGTTGGAATCAGTGTTACTGTGAGTGTTCCGTCTAACAAAGTCCCTGTTGTAATTGTTCTTACTAAAAACGTTGTTAAGATAATCAGTCTCGTCTTGTAGGCTGTCAGGTGAGTCACAAACTAGTTGCGCTCGTCTCGTCAGAGTCCGGATAGTAGTAGCCTTGTGAGAGGTCGGGTAGTACGAAGACTGGTCTAGTAATCGGTCGGTACGTATCGGTTTTCTGTAAATAGTCGTTTTTAGTTTGTTGTTGTCGCGAGTGACCAAGCAGTCTAGAAAAGGTATCTTACCATCTCCTTGGTGAACTGTATGTCCGTGTTCTGTCTGTTAAGGTGTTCGTGAAAATCGTCGATTCTGTCTTTGTGTACGGCGGTGAATGTATCGTCAACGTAACGTAACCAAAGAGGTACAGTTCGTGTGTAGGTAGCTAGGGCTTGTTCCTCGATGTTTTGCAGGGCAATTTCTGCTACAACGACAGAAACTGGAGAGCCCACAGCTGTACTGTGTAACTGTTTGTAGTGTTTGCCATTGTACTGAAAGTGTGTCAAAGTCAAACAGAGGTTGAGTTAGTCCATAATGTCGTCTGTAGGTAGTGGTAGTTCAACAGTAGAGTTCTTAATAGCGTTCTCAGTACAGTCTAGAGCCAGTTAAAGCGGAATACTGGTGAACAGTGATTTCACGTCAAAGGACACTTGTTTGTGGTCGTCCGGTATCTGTATTGTCTTAATGGCATCAATAAAGTTCTCAGTAGACTTAAGTTTGTGTCTAGATTCGTCAGTCAGCGGTTTCAGTACGTTAGTTAAGTATTTAGACAGTTGGTAGGTCGGGGAACGACGGAAAGAAACTATGGGCCACATAGGTACGTTGGGTTTGTGTAGTTTTGGTAGTCCATACAGCTTGGGTGGATGCGGAACACTACACCTCAGTCTGTTGTAGCGTCGAAAGTCGATCTTGTCGCTTTTCTTCAGTGTAAGCAGTTTGTTGTTAAGTTTGCGTTGCAGCGCGGGTGTCGAGTCTCATTTAAGTGCTTCGTAGGTCTGTTTGTCGTCAACAAGCAAGTCCATTTTGTCGTTGTAGTCTGTCTTGTCCATAACAACAGTCACCCTAGCTTCCCTTATCTGCGGGCAGTATGACTATGTTCTCGTCTGTTTTCAGTCGTTTAAGTGCTTTCTGTTCGTCAGGAGTCAAAGTACTGTTTGGTAATGAGGCTGATTGTAAAGTAGAGGTCACTCTACTTCTGATGTTATCCTTGGTCGATTCTGATAGCTCGTGTTGGCGAGACAGAACGGCCTCAACGCTAGATACAATAGCCTCAGTAGGTATTTGTTTAGGTGTCACTGAGTGTTTGAGCCCGTAAGAAAGTACTTGTGTTTCAGTCTCGTCTAAGGGACGGGAAGAAATATTCCTGACCCAGTTTGCATCGGGTTTACGTCGTTTAGTGTTTTTAGTTTCTTGCAATCGTGTCAGTTTTTATTTCGCTTTGGCGCGGTGCTGTTCAACTGTCTCGTCAGCGCGTTTGTCCACAATAGTCTGTATAGTACTAAGTAAGGTAGTTGTTTAAGTTTGTCAAGTCGTTGTTGTATTTTGTTGTTGTAGTAGTTGAGTCTTCTGTGACAGTCGTTTATCGGCGCTCAGATCAATCGTCTACAGGTGGCCTTAACGATTTGAATAGCCTCTATTAAGCAGGTTGAATTTTGAGAAAATGTATGGGCTTTCCCCAAAGACAAAGAAAACTGTCCGTAATAATGGGGTGTCCACATTAAGCGGGTGTCCATAAAGCAGGGTTCTACTGTAGCATCAAATGACAACTTTGTGTTCTTTGGAATTTCGTTCTAACAAAAGTGTATTATTTACTTCAGTCAGATGACCTGATTAAAACAGATACCCTGTTAATACAGACACTTTCTGTATTGATGGGATTTCACTGTATACAAATCTAAACAGGTACTGACCTGTGGCCTGATTGGGTTAACATTATTAATTGTCAAGAAAGGACATGAATGTTTTTCCCTTTATTCGGCCTTTTCAATACATAGTTATCTTCTGGGGTGTACAATTTTATATATAAAGAACGAAAGCTGTAAAGCAAGTGCCATTTTAGAACATGCAGTCATGCACTTAAAATCTCTTCAATATGTGAGTACTGCACACAGTTTCCACTGCTCTAAGCATGTCTGCATTTATAATGTGTATCAATAATAGTGATACTGCTTAGTCTTTTAGAAAATTTAAAACAAAGCCAACACAGAACCTAAAATATTCATTCATTGACATGGTTATGAGTGTAATCAATAAATTGTAAAACATGTACCTCATCAGTCAGCTCATCTCCTCTCATTTGCATTCTTGCAATCTCTGACCTCATGCGGTCTTCATCAGACATGGTGAAGACAAAGTAAAGTCCTGAAAAGATACTGTATATAAGTCCTTATTACTGTTAGACTATGGAAAGATTATTATTATTACTTTATCTCAATGAGAAGAGTTTTAGAACTTTTTAGAAAGTTTTTTTAAACTTTTAGTTTTGCGTATTTTCTTCAATGCTTGTTTTATTATTTTTGTAAATTTGTCACACAAGTGTTACAAAGTTTACAAATTACAAAGTTTAAAGTAATTCAGATTTGTAACAATACTAACCAATATAGCAAGGAAACCTCATAGACAGTAAAATCTAATCGACAATGGTATAAAGAAAAAAATGTGGTATACTTAAAGGGTAAATAAGTGTTACCAGCTAACTTATGTTGAGAAAAAAACTGCAGAAGCTTTATTTTATTGCACAGGTCACATGTGCTCAATGTAGTTCATCTGCAATATGACAGCCTTTGGTAATACATGTGACAGGATTTGTTCAGATATCTTATGTCTGATCTGACCACAGTTAAAAATTTATGGGCCATGGGCCAAGTTTAAACGTAGACAGTTTTAATCTAGTCAGACATTAATTGTCCCATGATCAAATTACACTTTTCATGTGCTCTCCACACTTGCAGAGAGTACATGTATACACTATTATTTGGGCATCACCCAGATAGAGTAATCAAGATTGCTTGTTTTGATTCAAAGTTGCAATAGGAACGCAATACATGTGAACGTAAACAAGCCAAGCGACACGACTAGAATGTCTGCTGCGCAATGTGTCACAACACAGCATTTATATCCTCATTTCATATGTCCCACAGATAACACACGGTAAACAAATCAGCAATTGAAATCAAATGCATTGAAAACACAAGGTACAGCTGTATGTTGACTAATGAGTGAAACAAACTATTAAATAATTTAAATTTTCCCTTTGGAAAATAATAATATTGTCCTCGCCACACACAGCGTGAATGTTTTTCTTCCAGACCATAGGTACAGCCATTGCCCTTTAATTTTCATCGTAAAGACTATTCATTGCCAGTAAGGACATGTCCTCTCAGAGGAAGATTTTTTGCTCACAAAATATAAACTTATAAACCTTAAGGTTATGGCATTTTTTATCTTACCTAGAAGCCGGGCAATTTTTCAGAAATTTCTAGGTAAATCTGTAAAAAAAATTGGAATTGACAGGTTTGGCTTATTGCCAAGAGTTTGACAACATTTTTGCCCTCAGTTGTCAAGAGACAAAGAAGATGTCACGCAAAATTCTGCGATCGTACATGAGATAAATAACGGTAAACATTGAATGATCCATAATTTCATTGCAAATT